GGTACATTTTGTGTGATTAGAGATATATTTAAGCATGTAAGTATTTAATTAGAGTATGCTGCCTGAGGAAGAGCGCCAAGTTTTAAACATGTTGCAGTCCAGAGTACCCGCCTTTTATATGTTTTACATTCCATTTAATGCCTGTATTTGTGCACATATTGAGCATATTAAATTATTTTAGTGGTGATTTTGTTGTTGTTGTTTTGGAAGCAAACATTTTCTTGTGGTCATTTCTATGGAAAAGTTGGGGGTTTTTCATAAAGGGGCTAATAATTTTGACCTTAACTGTATGATGCCTAGTTTGAATGCGTCTCTATGACTTCATTTAGATTTAAAATGTGTCCTGGGCGATTGGATCACAAGTGGACAGAATAAGTAACAATCATCCCCTAAGCCCACATACATCATGTTTTGAGCAGATGTTAGTGTTTACATCCATTCACCTCCACCTGTGGTTGAGCCCTGGCGTTCATAACAGACTTATGGATTTTTGTGAATCTCTGCTGAGTGTTGGAAGTAGATAAGTTAAAGTGGAAGTTCTGCTTTTTGATAGGGGCACTCATGCTTTTCCTAGCAGGCTGGAAAATGATTATCGACCGAATGCTGATATATTTTGAGTGCCAACATTAAGTTTACATCACACAGTACTTTACAAGTGTACAGTACTTTATAAGTGTAAACAACCACCAAGATGGATCGTGATCCAATCACTGAAACCTCTTGCTGAGGTGTTCTGGGACGCATTTGAACACATATGTTTTGTAATGTAAATGCTATTGCATCTCCGATAAAGATGTTCAAGGGCAGCACGGTGGCGCAGTGGTTAGCACTGTTGCCTCACAGCGAGAAGGTTACTGGGTACTCCGGCTTCCTCCCACAGTCCAAAGACATGCAGCTTAGGTTGATTGGTGTCTCTAAATTGCTTTCCATAGGAGTGCGTGTGCGGTTGTTCGTCTATGTGTTCGCCCTGCGATGGATTGGCGACCTGTCCAGGGTATACCCCGCCTTCGCCCGATTGCCAGCCGGGATTGGCTCCGGCCCCCCGTGACCCTGTTCAGGGACTAAGCGGTAGAAAATGAGAGATGAGTGAGTAAAGATGTTCAAGGAAAATATGTCATAGGTTCAGGATGTGGTGGTTGCTGTGGTGAGAGTGCACCAACACTAAAAAAAAAAAATGGAGAGAGAGCTGGGCATACTGGAGATGTATGTATATCGACAGGTATGAACGGTGATGTGTCCCGGCTGTCCACTTGTGTTCAGATCCCTGAGAAGCATTTTAATACCAAGTCTAAATGGGACCTACTTTGACTCCTGGTTGTTGTTTCTCAGGTGTTGGCAGTAACCTGCAGGATCATTTGGAGCTATACGTCCAGCAGCAGTGCACTCAGCCTATCACCCTCCACAAGGCACAGAAACCTTTCCAAATGGTTAAGATAGGTCTTGAATGGCTTACCACGTTCACTGGTAACTAAAGACACCTAGTGTGCACATACATATGGCGACATTTACACTCTCCCAAATGTTCTACAATAATAGTTTTAATAGTATTCCTTCATTTAATCTGCGAATACCAGTTATTGATAGGTATGGGTTTATATAATCTCTGCATTTTAAAAGAGTTAGTGGAAAGTTAATGGAGTTTGAGGAAAACAGTTTCCTACTTAATGAAATATTCACAGTATGGTTTTCCACAGTTGGATCATATCCTCTATTCTGTAAGTATTACTCATTATTTATGTAGATCATCTGCTTTCCAGCCCCGAATGATAACCAGCCAGATGCACGGAATTATTAATCTCCAGTGCGGGCACAGATCACATAACCTTATACACCGCAGGAAACAGTCAGTTGTAAATGTTTTGAGCTAGTGTTTTTGTCACAACCACATTCATATGGTTCTTTTAAAGAATTTGCTTAAAGATGGTTGAAAAAACATCTGTTGAAATGACATTAACTTGCACAGTATACAGATTGTGGCCCATCTCAGTTACTGTGATGCTCGTCACCTAGGTTATGGAGCAACAGCCCACATGGAGAGTGGTGGATTCATCCGCAGCCGCCCACTCGTCACACACCCCGACATCGAATTTCACTTCCTGCCCTCACAAATTATCGACCATGGACGAGTTGCCTCCAAGATAGAGGCATATCAGGTGTGTGGTCTGTGTTTTTTGTGAGTGGAGTGGGTGGTGGAGATGTAATGAGAAAATATAATTGATATGAACATTGGTGTGTTTGGCAGCTTTCACAGGTTTGAGATTTTACTGCTCTTTTGTTGTACAGGCAAATAACTGTGTGTGTTTTCTGGCTGTTAGTTCAACCATGTGCTGTAGTCCATGAACTGTTGTGTGCTCTCATACCTGTACACATGCACACACTGAAACAACCACATTATTAGCCATGCTCTATTAGATAAGACCCTCCTGCATGCACAGCACACAGGGCAGTGTTTACAGAGTCACACATGCCATTCCTTGGGAATTGGCTGCGCCAATTAATAAAACGATTTCCTTAGAGTCAGCCTGTTAATTATTTAAACTCTTGCTTCTTTTCAGTGAATTATAGCTGTCACATAGTGTATACCCCTGAAATTAGGCTTCTATTCATATTATTTATTTATTTATTTGTCTGGCCCAAGACATTCACTATATACATCCTGTTTTAGCTCATATTTCTTAAAGGACTTTTATTATAAACTGTTCCTAATATTCTGACCCTCTCACGTATATAGCTGTGGAGGACAAAAATATAGAGACACTGCTAAATATAATGTAGTCCAGTGTGACACCACCTTTAACTATGACCTCAATAATAACAATATAATTAAATGTATACATTTATGAAAATTTCACCAAAAAATAAAACGTTTTAAGCTTCATAAACACAGATGTTAAGGTGGAAGTGTTGCACTAAATTGTATACAATTGTACAGGTGTACCTAATAAAGTGACCTGTGAGCATACATCCACTTGAGTGCCTGGATTTGGATTTTGTATGCTACACACTACCCATGGATGAGGGCAGATTTTTATTATATATTCTTTAATGTCATCTGAGAAATATAAAGTGTTAAATGTGAGCAAAATTGTCATTGGTTTATTTGTGTTTAATTAATGGGTGCAAATCCTTAAATATGTCATAGGAAATAGGTTAAAGGGCGATATCAGTACAACTATGAAAGACAATAAACCACACAGTGGTTGTTCCACTTGCACCACTTCTCATTCATCATTTAGCAGTAACTATCACTGAGTCTGAGTTCTGGGGTTTCCCAAAGATATCTCTGAGTGAATAAATTCTCAGCAACTCAGCTGAAGAAACTTTCCATTGCAGAAGGGTTTAACGTACATGTCAGGATTGTTGCCCCTTGCATGTTTTGCCATGATAATCAGAGTGCTAAGCATTGATTCGCCCAACCCCCAGAAGTTCCATGCTCAATTAAAACACTGCTTAAAACACTGTTAAATTAGGGAGCTTTCTGTAAAGTGTCAAACATTTGCTTTCATTCAGTGTTTTGATTCAGCACCTGTAGAGGTTTTCTGGATGTGTGCTCATTACAATCTATCTTGAGAATCCTCAAAAACATCTGGATGAAAAAATATTCTGTCCACTGCATAATAAAGAAAGATTTGAATCCATTTCTCAAGTTGCACCTCTTCTACAACATGAAACAAAGTTTTCATTACACTTTCGTTCTAAATAACAACTGTTTTTCCTGTGTCATACAAAATGAGTAAGTAGATGTGTCATTTCTGGCTACCTGGACAGCAAGCACAGTGGCAACTAATGAATTCTTTTTTATTGTGCAGCAGATGAAACATTTTTTTGATCCAGGTGGTTGGGAGGAGTCTGGAAAAAGCTTGAGAACAGCAGTAGATTAGGTATCAGAGATTAACTGGGTGTTTATAACTTGTGTTGTAGGTTCATGTCGGACCAATGAGAAGCACCAGTATTGGTTGGATTAAGCTGAAGAGCGCCAATCCTCTGGATCACCCAAATATCAATCCGAACTATCTCTCCACTGGTAAGATTCTGTCACTGAGCACTCAGGAACCAAATCCATTAAAGTCCATTAACTCCAGCTTATTTCCCAAAATATTAGTCTTCTCATACACAATGAGACATACTCTACACAACGAATATCTGGATGTACTTTGCTTGACATTTTGCTGCGACTTTTCCCTTGATGGCTGAGCTACTATTTTGAACAATGATAATAATTTTAATGAATTTTACTTTGTGCATAATAATAAATATTAGCATCTGAAGAAGAAAGTTATTTTGAGTAGGAGCCTGGAGTTGGGTTGACTGGCATACTACTAATGGAGCAGAATTTAAAACTGAGAAAGCCTGATTTTCTTCTACATCATGTGCTCTCCTCTCAGATATTGATGTGTGGGAGTTCAGGGAGTGTGTCAAACTCTCCAGAGAGATTTTTGCCCAGAAGGCCTTCGACCCATTCCGTGGACCCGAAGTCCTGCCCGGCCCTCAAGTCCAATCCGACGCCGACATTGATGCTTTTGTCCGCCAGAAGGCTGACACCGCCTACCACCCATCCTGCACCTGTAAGATGGGCTCGCCCTCTGACCCAATGGCAGTTGTGGACCCGAACACACGTGTTCTGGGTCTGGAGCGGCTGCATGTAGTCGACGCCTCCATCATGCCCAGCATCATCAGTGGCAACCTCAACGCTCCTACCATCATGATGGCAGAGAAGGCTGCTGACATCATCAGAGGCCGCCCTCCTCTCGTCAGCCCACGGGTTCCTGTGTACCGACCGTCAACACTCGATACACAGAGATAAAGGCAAAGGGTACATGTGGTTCAGAAACAGTTTACAACACAGTCAGTTGTTAGGCAACAACATGTGTGATCAGTTTATCTTGAGCTTGATTAGGAGCTGATTGTTTTGCTTTTTGAGCCGATATTGTAAATGAGTCGTGTGTTGCCTTGTTAACACATCCGATTTGCAAACAAGCTAACATACTGTGGTTTGTCTAGTAGTCACAGGTTAACAGTAATTACAAAGGTCTGATCATGATGCTGAATACAGTTTCATAACATAATCTTAGAGCTATTGCAAAGCAGTTTGAAGACATTCTGATTATGGTTTCCTTCCGACCTGGTTATGGTTAGTGGACTCAGTAACTAAAATCAGTTGTTTGCTCAGTTTAACTACGTTGGCTTGTCTGTAGCAGTTTTGACTAGCCAATGCTGAAGATCAACAGTTGTAGGGACAAACCTACTTCACCAGACACTTGATTTTATATACTCTATACATTTAGTGTTGGCTGTGCTGGCACTTCATGATTGCACAATATGATTGTTAGGAAAGATGAACAATTGCATAGTTACTCTGAACATAATGAAAAGTAGTTCCTCAGAAGTTTTTGCTCAGTTTGCCTGGCATTACCTTGTCAGATATGTTGGATAACAATGCACCAATTTTGCAATGTGTTTGTGTGCATGCACACCCACGTCATATGTCTTAAATACTACACAGCTGCAGTGATTCTCAAGCCTTACAATCTTTGACATCAATAATGCCTCTAACATTGCTTAGTTAACATTTCAGCCACAGGCTGAGATAAGCCACAGTGACATTTTCAACTGAATTCTACAGTACAGGAAATGTGTTATCTGGGTTTCAGGTTTCAAAGTAGAACAAAATCTGATCAAAGTGTCTCATGTTCATTCAGTCCATTTTTTCTAATTGGAGTCACAATGAAACCTGGATTAATTTCAGCACAGATAAGTTCAGTTCTGAGGAAAGTGGTTTCCCCCTTCCTTCTTAGGACCACAATCATATTTTTTAGCCCACTACTTTTTGAAACAGTTTTCCCCTTTGTATATTATCTCCTCATCACAATTTGTTCACGTCTGCCTTCATTCGACAGCTAAAGTCTTGAGTGATCACTGCTGCTGTCTGATACCAAGATAACATCCCTCTTCCTTTCTGAAAACTTGCAGATTTAACATTTTTGTCACAGAAAGCACTGACGTTTGGAAAGAAACAGCCACAGCTGTTTTTCTGTTTTGCTCTGCGTTGTGTTGCTCTGATCAGGACTCAAACTCAAATCATCCTGGTCTTGAAATCAACCTGTGGACCTGCAGGTGCTTTCTCACTGGCTCTGGTTCTGTGAAAATCCAAAGGCAGCTTTTCTAAACGTTGTAGCATAATCTTTTATTTGGTTGTATATATGTTTTCTACAGCATGAAACTACACTAGCTGAACTATGGGAAGATTCATACAGTATGTAGTCAGAATACAATCCTCACTCCCACAAGAAGACATTTTATTATGAAAACATCATTTATGATAAAATGCCTCACAGTACTTAGAGCAGAAAAGACTGCAAGCGGACCTTATGTCAGGGCAGAGGAAAACAGGAGCTAGACAGAGTGCATTCAAACTAAAAATATTTCATAACATAGACTTAATGCAATTTCACTACCATACTTTTTTTAATTTCAGAAGGAACAGTCTTTCTGAAGGCACTGTTGTGTACATAGAAAGTTAAAGCTAATCCATTGTGATCATCATGTGTCATTTGCCTTTGGTGCTCTATGTTTATGCTTTTGTCTCAAGTTTGACAGCTCACAAAATCGCCTTTTGACACAGAACTGTTGAATCTAAAGTGCAAATTATATTTCAGAATATCAAATCTGTCTAACAGATCTAGTGTTAACCTGCACTTTAGTTAAAATATACACTAAAGATGTCTAAAAACTAAAATACACTAACACCTGTCTGTATGTATTGTGGATGTTTACGATGAAGCTTTTAAAGATGATTGTGTGTACACTAAACAGATCAGATAATACCACTGTTGCCTATAAGATCGTGTTTTGATGTGACTCAGGAGCTGCGTTTCAGTTTGATCCACCCAGGACTGACAGTTTTGAGCAGATGTTTGAACCACCTTTACTGAAAATTTTCCTCAAATGAATGCATGAAGTGTTGATTGATACAGTGAATTTTATTGTCTTATTAAGCTTTGCACTACCCAACCAAGTATCTTAGCCCAGCATCATTATTATGATAGTTTATTTGCAGTCTTTTATATTATTATTTTAATGTTTAAATCATTTGTGGCCTAATGACGGAGTAACGTGGATCATAAAGGGAAAATTAATGTGAAAATTTATACAGCTTTTATTGTTTGCATGTTTGTTTTTGCTTTTTTTTTGTATTGTAAACAAACACTAGAAACCAACCTGACCTTGTTCTTATGACTTTATTCAGTTGTCTTTAGAAAATTCCTCAGCAGGTTCATTGTCAGTTTAGGTGAGAATTCAAATGTACAAAACAGGGTTTTTGTTTTCATTGGTACAAAATCTATAAGGTACTAATACTTATGCTACAAAATAGATAACTATAGCTTTTAGTTTTCATACAACAAGTGGGTAGAAAGCAGAAATCTTCAAGTACATCACTTAGTTTTTACAAACACTGTACAGATTTTATACATCGTCATTTCATAGACCTCTGAAAAGCAGTGGAACAGTACAAAAATAAAGTTGTTGGTTGCACAACAAAGCTTTGTCACATTTCTTCTGATAAAACTCTAAATGTTGATGTATTTAGATAGTTGTACTGTTTTTCTTTCTGGGTGTTTACTGGCTGCCACTGAGGTCCTGACATGATGTGAGCCACCAGATTTGGTCATTGACTCAAGTTACTGAACTGTAGAAACCCAAGCAGCCTTGGCTTAGATCTGCTCCGAACCTGTCTGTTTTTAAATCACTTCTTAAAACGCATTTGTATTCACGGGCCTTCGACAATTTTATTGACTGATGTATTTGTTTTGACTATGTACTGTATTTTTCTTGTTATTTTGCTGTATAGATGTGTTGTATCTGGTCTTAGGTATCTTTATTATTATTATTATTTATGTTTTACTGGAAAGCACCTTGTAACGCAGGTTTAGAAAGGTGCTATATAAATAAGCTTTGCTTGCTTGCTTGCTTGCTTGGCCATTCAAATTAGACTTTATTAAGCTTTGTAAAACCAGTCAGTGGCACTGAATTACTATTTGAGTTTTACTGAAAAAAGTGGTGATCCAACAATTAGTGTTTCTCCCATTATGGTCCTCCCTGTTTTTTCTGTGTAAACAGGAGTTACATCATCTGCTGTAGAAAATGTGGCCGCCTCTTTCATCACGAGAGGCTGACGTTCAGAGAAACCATCCCAGGATCACAGGTTTAATCCCCCACAACCAACTGTACATGACGCTATAGTCCTGTGTTCTTTGTGGTGTTGTATCAGCTCAGAAGTGTGCTTCAGAGGGAGAAATATACAGATTTCTGCTTACAGCATGTAACTAATGTGGCTTTTGAAGTGCTCTTAATTACTCTAATATATATATATATATATATATGTATATAGTCATTAGGACCCAAAACAGTAAAACAGAACCTCTGAAGATTGTATTTAGACAAAATGAAGAGGACGGTAACTGTGTGTCCCTATTCCAGACAAACACCAAGATGACTTTCTGAGTCTGCTTTCAGATCATCACTAACAAATCCTCACTCAGAATTTTGGGGCGCCTGAGGTGGCCGGTCAGATTAAAAAAAAAAAAAGTTCTTTACATGAAAATAAAATTTTTTATATAAAAATGTTTCACATTATTTAGTCCTTTAATCTGTTTTACATACATTTTTTGCAAATGCAGCCTTTTCCACAACCAACACACCTGGATAGTTAGAGGTAATAAGAATAATATTTCTTAAATGTCTCAAAGACAGTTTACATGCTTGTGTGTGTTAGAAAATGCATAAGTCTTTTCTATCTATTGGCCACCAAAACCTGCTTATCAATGAATCCTCTGGAGAGAAGAGGAAATAAGTACATTTCACATGCGAGAGTAGTTCAGACACCGGCTCACATCCCACTGTAGGTCACATTAGACTGTAAGGGTGTAATCAGTCATGTTCAAATCTTGTGTTACCACTGTTCATAAGAACTAGTGCACAACTCAGAAACAACGTAAACATGAACCATATCTGGAATAATATTAAAATATTGAAGTCTGTAAATGCACTCAAATCAATTTTGGTCTTGTATTTGAAAAAGCCCTTTGATTGCACAGATGGAACCTGTTGCCCTGACAACAGTATTTAGGGATTGAGGAAAATAAAAAAAATAAATTAGATTGCCCTGTGTGATCCAGTGTTGCTTTATAAAACCTGAAGACATTGTTACAGTTGGCAGTGGTAGACGAACATGGGTTAATGGAGGAGTACAGCACATGAGAGATGGTGCTTCACCTCACTGTTTTTACCTGTGAGCTGTGTGTGTAGACAGCAGCTGTTTGGGACATCTTGCATATCCCTACAAATAAAAGGCAAGAGCTAACGTTAATCACTCCACTCCAAGAACACACTATATACAAGCTATAAAAAAAACCCCGATATATTCAAGTGAGTCTCCCTTTCAGTTGCGGCATTGTAAAAATGCAACACGTAAACAGTAACAAACAGCAAATATCTGCCAAAGCTTTGTGTCGTGATCCATTTACTTAATCATAGTACAAGCTTGAGAGAAATTCATTCAAAATCAGTCACGTGACACACGATTTATGGGAATGAAGCAAAGCTTTTCAGCTGTCGAGGCAGTGAAACATTGAGCCAGACAGGACTGACAAATGATACTCTCGTGCTAACTTTGTACTTCAGCTGTGAGGCATTAATTTCTGAATGGTCTTATTTTATTACCTTTTGTTAAGGAATGGCTGTAGATTACAACTTCAAAATGTCACAACACTCTGAACTCTACTTTTTTCATAACTACTCATTCAAATAGTCTAAAACAGGTGTGAGTAAAGTGAATCATTGCATATTCTGTCTGAGTTTGTAACAATGAAATGGTCTCTCCTGTGCTGTAATAACATCCTCAACTTCCTTTTTCATGGTCAAGTTAATGTGTAAGTTGCTGAGTTAGGACCTGGTTGGTTGGTGTAAAGAAGGAAAGACTTAGCTTATCTGTGTCATGTCAGCATGCAGGTGAAACAGAACAATATATTTTTTTGTCAGTGATATGTGATTCCCTAATTCAAGTCAAAAACAGAGATGAGTAATGTTTAACCCTGAACTGTGAACCTAGAGCAGCTCCCTGACTCACTGGCTGGAGTAGCTTTGGATCAGCACTCTGCGCTGAGATTAGCTGAAATAAACCAACAAAAATATTATGTTTATCTCATTTTGTTCTGTGCAATTCAAATCACGGAGGCCAAAGTGTAATATGAAGAGTGGGGCGCAAATCAATGTTAGCATAACTGTAGAAAGGGGTTAAAAATCACACATTTTAAAGGCATGAAAGTCAACTGAATACAGGACATATGTAGCTTTGTAAAGCCACCTCACACATTTTCCCTGATGTTTGAAAGGTCAGCTCTCTGTCACCGATGTTTGTGTCTGACATTCAAATCGGAGAACACGGTTCATGTTCTGGAAATGTGAGTAAATCTAATGCAATAACCATTTCATATAGTGTTCAGAACAGTTACACATTTTCCATTTTATGGTCCCTTCATATTCAGTAAACAGTGTAGGCCTCTTGGCCTTGTTTATCACATAGATTGGGGACAGTGTGACAGAACTGTGCCAATACTGCACCCCAAACTGCAAACAAACTGAAAGTGAGACATTTTACCACACCCACTGTTGGACTTTAGCTGCTGGACAGTAGTAGTAACCCTCAGCAGAAGTTGTTTGAAAAATTACTTCCCAAGCTTTGGGCTGGCTTTGCAAGGCTGCCATGTTTATGCTTGCGTATGCTGCTGTATCAAAGCACTGCTAATAAAGATAACAATGGAAAGCAAATGGAAAACAACTTCTAAGGAGTGTTGTGAATTAGGTATCAGGTGGCTCGCAGATCTCCCTCTGGTTTCAATATTTGGTGAATTTATCTCAGCCTTTCAATAAACCTAAATGTTTTTCTCACATCTTCCTGGCATTTCCATTCTCCACTCCACAGAAAGAGAAAACAAGGCACTTTATTCTCTTATCCATCCATATTTTATCATTTCTGTCTATTGCAGGATGCAAAGATGTGGAACAGTATCAGAAATTCAATTGAAAAAAGCTAAATATCCTGTCTGAGCGGCTGCTATAGTGACGTGATCCATATCATCTCGTCTGTTAGGTCCTCCTCGCATTTCACGGCCACGTACGGCTCCTCGTCGCTGTAGTCATGGATGCTGCAGTCTCTCAGATGCGCGGTGGCATGTGGGTCTGAGCTGACATTCTCTGTGCTCCCAGTGTTGCCGTTACCCATGCTCCCATTCAGCAAATTACTAGCAGCGCTCTCCATCTCGTCAATTGTCATCTCACAGGCATCTGCGATCTCGTGTTTGGTCACTGACAGAAACTTAGGGTCTCTGGCATATTTCCCCAGACCCTCAGAGATCAACACCTGAAAACAACAAGCAAAGAAATAATCTCAATTGAAAATTGCTGGGAAATGATTTTATAAATAAATTCACGTCAGAACTCATCTACATATCAGAGTCCGCCTGAGGTTATCTCAACCATGTGTGCATGATTCTGTTGAACAAATCCATAACTCGTTCCACCACTAAAGGAGTACTGGTCCTGCCTCACAGTGATGGTATGAGATCATAGTGAATGAGACGGTTCATAAGCCTGGATGAGGAAATGAGCAGTAACAGGGAGCCAGCTGGTAAAAAGCAATGAAACATGGAGCAGTCCTGCCACAGCTGTCAAGGTGCCTGTACAGTACAAGGAGTTGTGTGGCTGTCAGATAAGACCTGGTCTTTCTGATGTTACTGTAACTAGTGCAAAGCGACATCCCTAAGAGTGCTCATAATGGATCCAGGAAAATGCATAAACAGAGCTGAAACGATCAATTTGTTAACTGACAGAAAATTCTGCTTCTGCATCTTGGTAACTGGACTGTGGCACATTATTTTTGACATTTCATCCAAACATTCAATCAGTGAAACAATCAATGAAAACACTTCTTGGTTACTTTTACTCACAGCCTCTACCAAACTGCTAGCACTGCCTCTCTCCTGCATGAAGTGTGAGTGGCTCCCTGCAGGTAACTGTGGACGTGATGGAGAGTGGCTGCTGTTGGAGGGACCGTCGTGACCACTTGTATACCATGAACTCCTCTTCACTGCTCTGGGGATGTTGCCTACACTGCTGGGACTGCGCCAATCCACCTGAGTACAAACACACACTTTGCCTTCATTTTGCCACAAGTAACTGATTGAGATACTAATTTCATAAAGCATACTACCAGTAGAGCCATTTCTCACACTTTGTTTTGTGACAATGATCACACCTGTATGAGTGGTGCATAGCAGGGCAAGCAATCATGGCTGACGGGTGAGGCAGGAGGCGTGGCCCAGGAGCGCGGTGACCTCATAGGAGACAGATGGCGAATTCTGCTGGCATCGAGTCCGGCCAGTGCCATTACCTGAGCTCAAGATGATTAAGAAGAATCAATGAAGGGAGACATTTTGGGTGCAGGAGGTGGAGACACAGATCTCTTAGAGGTATTCCTACCATTGTTTGACAATAGCATACTGTATATTCACTTATCAGAATATACATAAACAGAAAAAGGTGTGTGTGTGTGTGTGTGTGTGTGTGTGTGTACCTGTTGCTGCACCAGGTGTAGTGGAACAGCTGTGCACAATGGAGAGGAAGGAGTGTTATCCTGGCTACTCCTTCTCCAAAGATGCTCAAAACCGAATGTTGGCCTGTTGGAGGCTGACAGGAAATAGAAGAACCAAAAATGATCACTCTCTGGACTCCAGCTATGGTTGCTTACTGAATGTATAGCATCATTTTATTCAAGAATAAAGTTTATTGAAACAAAAAAAGCTAATTCAAAGTACAGTTTTATACATATAACGTAGTAACACATGTTAATTTATTTTGTATTTTCCTTACATTAGTACTTGTACTATGCAGTTACAATAAACTGGGTCTGAATGAGAGCAGCACACTGAATCACTGAATCATCAATTTTTTAAATAATAAAAAAAAGACAGCTACGCTGTAGCATCTCACCTTGAGTTGATGGTAAAAACCATTTCCTGGGCGACCACCTGGTGTCTTGGTACATCGGCTGGTGGTCATCATCGTAGTAACGATCAGGCTGGCAGGCACCCTTGGAAACCCCAAGGTCCAAGTCTTCCTCTCCATCACGATAGTCCTTGTTGGACAACCTGTAAAATAAAAGATTTTTTTTTAAAGCAGCTCTCTTATTACAGTGATTTAGCCCATAATTCTTTGCAAGGTGGTGAAAATGAAGTGACTCCTGTGTAATCAGTACAAAAATTTGGATTAAAAAAGCTACAGGTAACAAACAAGTACAATAATAGTGGTGAGTGTGTTGCCACTAATGTACCATAAACTACAAGCTCATCCCAAATAAATTTTGCTACTCAGAGAGAAAATACTTGTACACTGTATATGTAATATTAATCAGATACACAGCAACAGTCCAGCCGTGATGCTACAGGACACAACTGTATTAGTGTTTATGTGAGATCAAGTCAGGCTGACGTTTGCTGCTACCTGTCCGTTGTGAGCATGATATCATCTTCGTGAAACTCCTCTCCACTGTAATACACTCCTGAGCCTCGCTCATCGCCGCTGTCCCTGGCCCCCGGCTCCTCTTGACGAATGGCGGTGTGAAGTTCGCCACCGCTTTCTGACCTGACATCCACACATCAACACACAATGAGTCATAAATTAATCAGTGCAACTTTGACAGTTATACTGTACATGCAGCACTTAAAGATTAGATGTCTGTCTTTTTTCTTTTGCTGTTTGTTGGAGGTTTTACGCAGTGCACCACGGAGTTGCATTTCCCCACAGTATTCATTCACTCTATCACGTGGATTGAAACTGACACAAATGGCATCTTTTTATTAACAAAAAGCCTCCGCCATCAGAAACAACATAATGTGAAATGAAGCTCTGTTAAGTGGTAACATTGTGCACATACCTAATGTAGGCCTCATAGTAGCATGTCCTGCTTCAAGGAGAGGACGGGGTCAGTCGCACAGACAGGATTATTTGGAACAGGTGAATGGGAAAGGAAGGGGGTTTGCAGTCAGTGACAAAAGAGAAGAGGACCCATTAAAACACTTAAAAACAACTTATTTTGTCCTAATGAGAAAGGCGGTGTTACTGGTTCCATTCTGAATGATGACGTACCAGTGAAAACTGCTGACAACAAAATTTGTGGTTTAACCTGTTTTTAACTTGTCTTCAATTTAAAAATAATACAGGTGCTTTAATATGATACAATTGTGAGTCATTTAACATTTTTGTGATATTTCACAGCAGTGTACTCAGTTTTGTTGCACACCATACCTTGTGTTCATCTGCTCAATGAAATTTTGAGGTCACTTTTGAACAATTCATAAAAATATAAGTATCAAAAATCAGATCATACCAAATAATTCTACAGCTGCTTTGGTTTACACAAAACAAGATTCTCCCATTCTCTTCTCTCTTTACTAACCTAATGCTGTTTCTGTTACAGTAAGTCAGGGCCACTGTTAGGTCTCAATCCACTGACCTTGTGGAGTGTGACCTCCGAGACTTGTCATGCACCCCTTCACTGCAAGTAGATGCTGACGGTCTGTTTTTGGTGGAGGATGGGGGATTTCGCCTTAGCAAACACTTCTGCTGCCTCCCATTGGTAATGTTGAGAAGTGAGGGCACATTGGCATTGTTGAGGTTGGCATTAGAGGGTACTGGCGATTGATGGCAAGTGGAATTGCAGTTAGAGTAATTAAATAAATGAGGGGGGTGATAATGATGATTATACTGGATGGGTGAAGAGTTTATCTCCGTCTCTCCTTCCCTGTCATTGCTGCTGGCTCTCTTGCCAGTTAGTATGGGGTCAGTCGGGCCACTGCAGGAGAAGGCCAGGACTTGTAGTGGCCGCTGGGTGACGGTGGTCGGGTGGGAGGAGCCTTGCTGATCCCCACTGACGTGGTTCCCAAAAAGACTGCCATTGCGCTGCACAGAGACATAGCAAACCAATGAGAATGTTTTTATGGAACCACATCAGGCATAAATTATTACTCAAACCAGAAGATTTTATCTTTATGAATGTTTACCCGGTAGATTTCCTCTTCTTCATCCCCATTTGCATCTACTAGCCCCGCCTCCTGCAGGTCACATGATATGGCTCGACGGATCTCTGGCCCAATGTCATGCAGCGTGCGCAGGCCAGCCTGCAGAGAGAGTAGCTGTAACACCAACCCTGCAGTACCATCATAACCAGCCATTATGCGGTTTTATTTATTTTTGTATCTCATCTGGTTGAGAGAAAACTGGGTGATAACATTGGCAAATATTTCAGTCTGTGCTCAGACTGACAACAGTGATTACAGAGTGATTCATAAACACTTAACATGGATTTAGAGGTGGCAAGAGTGAGTGCACATATATTTTTTGAGGGGCTTCCAATAAAACAATGACATGGAGTGTTATGAGAGAGGTGTTGTCACTCAGTGTTTTTCATTGGATGTCAGTGAGTGCCACAAAAGACATTCTTTTCACCTTCAGTGTACAGGGGCAAGACAGAAATCTTACAGATGGATATCTCAAAACATTGAAAAGTTCATCTAAATGGTCTGCATGGATTGATATCATTGGATGTACAGTAGGAAAAAATGTGTTTGTAATTTAGGTGAACCCACCCTCTAATTTCCATTATATGACCCACTGGAAGTCAGTGCAGGGACCTGACTTTGGTATGAGGTCTTAGTAGATCTCTAACAGCAAGACTCCTAATAAGCTGCAGACACCTGAGGGGCTTTTTGGGGAGATCTGAGAAAAGAATAAAGACAAATTGACAGCAGAAAGACTATACTGCACCTTGTGTCTTTCAAAAGGTCTCCTGGTCATTCATGTTCACATCACACTGACTTTGTGTGCTGTGGCTATTAGAGTCTATACTTAAACCAGTAGTTCTAATTTTAGTTTTTCAGAGATAAGTTATTCAGGACTGACTGGACACTCCTCTCTCCTCACATTGCATCTTTTCTTGGCATCTTATGTGGGCTGGACTATGGCACAAGGAAAAGATGAAAGTGAAGGAAATGTGGACCCATGTAAGGGACTTGGGAAGCAGCCAGAGTGTATCATTATTTACTCACTTGTAGAGCCATAGTGATGTTCAGCCTCTCCCATGAGCGCCTTCCCACAAGACCTTGCTCTTTGCGCCTCTTGAACTTCCTGAAGTAGTCCTGTATCAGGAAGGTGGCATAGAACTTCCCCACTGTTACCTCGTCATCTGAGTGAACAGATCAAAGCCTCTGAGATCAACAGCAAAATACCTGAATACCACACTTTTGGTATTTAGCACAAATCAAATTATACAAATTATTTTCAAAATAAAACCCCTCAGAGTTTACCTTCTACCTCCCATAAAAAAAAACAGAAACACAACTTGGCAGAAAAGTCAAATTGCACTAAAAGTATCAAAACTGAAACCCATTAACGGTAAAATGTCACAGTGATGAAGCACCACTGCTGCAGAATGTTGCAAGAAAGAACAGCCTCGACACTAAAACAACCTGTAATAAACAAAATGACAATAATACCTAAGCATGTCAACAAAATGCCATCTGCACTGCTTGAGCATTATTATAAACATTCAGACTAGGAAGCACCATGTCCAGAGGATCATAACACACACACATGCACACCTGCACGTAGGCAGCAGGTTTTTACCCATCAACAGATAGCATCTCTGCCTGCAGCTCACATCTAGCTTTATCTCTGAAAACATGTGGTTAACAAACGTGTCTCACACAGGCACAAAAAATTGCATACACATACAATTTTTCATGCGATTGTACATGCACCCTCTTGAACTCATACACCTTAATGTACCAAAATCAGTTAGCATTATAGTAATTTATGCAATAAACATTAAGGAAACAGACATATTTACTGTTACTTCAAATAATGACCACAGAGATCACTGCTAGGTCACATGTTGGCAGAATTTACAACATTTAATTTCAGTCACTTCAGAAACAGATGGGCAGGGATACTAAATCAAGACTGGGTCTGATTCGCTCAGATAAGTGATGGCTGACGCTGACTGGGGAGAAAACACTTAAGAAAAAGGAACCTGAATCATGGTGTGCAGAAAATGGGTTTTTCTTTTCTCCTGGCGCCCAACATGTTTCTTTACATCACCCGACACAGCCAGAGAAACACAACAAAAGGCTCTGTTCAGAAAAGAAAACCTGACCAAACATATTTAAGGCCACAAAATGTTTATTTTTTGTGTAAAGCAGAACTTGGTGATGTTAACCACTTTTACTAAACTACATAATATTCAAAGAATGTCTGATAAATTGGACAGATGAGGTCTTACAGAGCCTTCAGGCCTCTATTCCAGATTTTTCACATATATATAAATGTATGGACCAACTATTATCAGATCAATTATATTTACATGACATGTTGTAGGTTGGTTTTTCATGATTTATCATTTGGAGCAAGTGATCAGCCTCATTTTATGGAAGAGGATTGGGGGCACTGTAAAAAAGTTTATTACATTTTTTTTTCAAAATTCTGAGAAAGCTTCCATATAATTTTGACTTATTGTCACAGAAAATAATAATAATAATAATAACTGAGCCATACTCCATAGGCCCAGTTACATTTTAGCACTGTATTTAACTGACTCACTTGATAAAACTATATGATTGTATTTTTCTTAGTAATGCCTCATCCTGGTGAAGGCAGATCAATGTACAGAAAATGTTGTGCATGTGAAAACAGGTTCTTTTTCTGGATACAGCCTGATGACATTTTAAAAAGAGGTATCAGTAGTTTCATGCCACCAGACTAAAACAGAACTGCTCCAAAGAGCTAAGGACGTCAGAAAGAGAAGAGAAGGCGGCCAGCACTGAGCACGCTATTGAAAGCAGAGGAAGCTGTGGAGGAGTGAGGCTTAGCAGAAGAGATTCAGACACAGACAGAAGGGTTAGCAAACGAGTGTACACAAAAACACATAGTAGAGATGAAGCATAGTAAGCATGGAAGGACACTGGGCAAACTGCATGCACACAACTAGAGGAAGCTCTATGTACACACTAGGCTAAGTGTACATTCATACCTATTTGGGAATTAGTTACAATTTCCTAGAATTCCATTTGTACAATATGAAAACATAATGCAAAGCATTTAATGCTGTAGTTTTATGGGTATAGAAAAGAGGAAGTTGACATGCGACAATGATATTTGGAAAGCTTTGTATGACTGCAAACCACACTCTGAATTTGCACTTGTATTCGGTATTAGTGCATCATTTTTATATTTATAAATACATATATATGATATATCATATATGATATACTTGTATCTGAGCTTCAGAGCTTGGAGAAAGCAAAAGGTGAAAAGCAGAGAAGAAGATTATGCTGCAGGTTGAGTTCAAAAAGTGTCTATGCATGTTTTGATACAGTTCCTCAGCTGCAAAATTGTGTCATTCATAGAATTTATTGTAACTGATGTGAATTCAAGATGGGCATAGCATCCGTTTCTCTGAAGACAGAAAGAATTAACTGAAGCCCATCGCAGCATGGTTCCTAGATGATGCACAGTAAACAGTGGGGAAAAAAAGTGAAACTGCATGCTAATGTGAAAATCAACACAGCCAAAGTGTGTAAATGTCTTTGACTCCCTTTTCAATTCAAATAAATGAAATATTACATTTGCATTCAAATGCATGTCCTTTGGTTGCCAGCCTTCCTTCTTCTGTTAATACACACAAGCACAAACACAGGACTGTTTGTAGTGTGACTTCCTTCTCTGTCAATGCAAATGCCTCCCTAAGAAAGACCAAATGTAAATTACAGTATACTGTAGTTTATGTGCTAGGTAGCCATTATTAATATTAAATCAATTCTTTCCTGGGAAAATGCAAATGAAAAGTAGCTTATTCAAACCAAGTGAGTGAGAGAACTGTACAGAAAAAGAGTGAGCTAACAGCTTAGACTGTGAATGATAGTGAGAAGCAAATGAGCCCTGTTTATCCAAAGAGTTGCTCATGTTTGCCTGTGTGTGTTGTGAACACTGACCACTTGCAGACGGCACCACTTGGTCCAGCAGTTTCATGCTGGTCCTCTTCCAAATCTTCTTGATCACAGCTCTCAGCTCCTCATTGGCTTGCTCCAGGTTACCTTTGAAAATGTGAAACATGTAACTGTAAGTAGACACTGAGAAGACATTACTGACTGAACAGCTACAGGCCCCTCTTGTGGCAAAATGTTGAATGAGAACATCTAACCACAAGGAGTTCAAAACACCCTTGTGAGCATCTGCAGAAAATAACGTGGGCTTCATAGACAACTCGAAAACATTTTGGGGAAAACCTGGTCTGATTAGTAGAGATGGCATCCATCCCACTTTGGGTGGTGCGGTTCTCTTATCTAGAAATCTGGACGAGTTTGTTTTACAACCTAAATTATGACAACCCAGAGTTGAGTCCAGGATGCAGGGTCGCAGTCTTACACGCCTCTCTGCTGTCTCCTTGCAGCTGCTACCCACCCAACGCTCCCAGTACCCCATAGAGACTGTGTCTGCCCCCCGCCCACCTAAATTATATAAATC